TGTGCTATACATGAGGTGGCCCTTGAAGAATATCTGGAAGCTTCAGATGGTGTAAAATGCCCCTAACTTTATACACATGTTATACATCCCTGCTTCATGAGCTGTACCGGTTATCAGTTTGTTTCTACAACCATTTCAAAATGCTGATTTTGATCTTTAAAGCCCTTCATGGCATTAGGATGGGTTATTTAAGGAACCACCTTTACCCAATTACATTTGCCCAGCCCATTAGATCTGGTAGAAGTGGTATGTTGCAGGTTCCATCTTTGAAGAAGTTCCATTTGATGGGACCCAGGACATGGCCTTTTCTGCCATGGCATCTGCCCTCTGGAACATTGTCCCCTATGAGATGAGATCTCTACCATCCTTCTGGAACTCCTTTAAAACCTGGTTATGTCAACAAGCCTAGTGATTGCAAGGAAATGGTAATTTGATTTTAGGGCATTGTTTATAACCTGATGTTGTGCCTTAACCTTTTATAGTAATATTGAATTTTTGTACTTGTACTTTGAATGTTTTTAAAATTGATTTCATGATTGTTTTGTATGACACTGAGTGTCACATTTGTGAAATGGGCAGTCATATAAATTTAATAAAAATGCAGGGCTTGGTCCCGATTGAGACTACTATACTCTGCATGTTTGGGGAAGCCTAAAGTTTTGCACTCCAGCCACCTGCTTATATAGCCAGGAGATTGTTTTCCTTCCCTTAATAAAGTCTGTTTGGCTGCTAAAGGGGCCCTTATATATTTACTTTCTGAAAATGATACCCTTCAGAGGAATATATTCAAAGAAATAAAATGCTCCTATCTGCCCCTTGACCTTAGCCAACAAAAAGCATAGTTTTAAAATGTTCTGTGGCCAATTGATAATCCCCACAGGTATTTGCTTACGAGTGTTGGTTACGAAAGAGCCATGACTTGGCAATTTTATCTTCATAAGATATCTAATAATGTATTTGCAAAATGTCAATGAAAGAAGCACATGCTGTGGGCTCCATTCTGAAATTTTTTTTTGTAGTACTACACAGTAGTACTAATGCACTGTTTGGGCCAGGCTACAGTCTAATCATGTGAGTATATAAGACTAGCACATTCCACAATCATCAAACTGGCAGAAATACCTATTGTATTGCTGCAAGATACATTTGAAAAGATATAAAAATATTTTCCTTATGAAAAGAGATGTTTTGAACATGAAATCAATAAACTGTTAAATTACACTATTAAATTTAACTCAGAGTTTATCACACAGAGATTGTAAATGTAATAAACTGTAACAAAACGTCATTTTAAAGCAAAGTATTTATTCCGGCATAATCTTTTCAAGATCAATTCTCTTCTCCATCATATAATGAAATGGCCTCTAATCCATCAAAATTTTGATGTACAAATGTAACTCATGATCATTATATACAATAGCCTGATTTGCATATTTTACTAATCCATCATTCATTTGACATTGGCTGGTTCAACTAACTATAACTGTCAGGGCAAAGCTGCTTAATCTTGTCCAATAAACCATAATGTGGCTTACTGCAAAATGTAAACCTGATTATAGTTAGTGCTCAACTTTCATCTGTTTGAAAGTTACAGCACCAGAAAAAAGTGACTTATGACCATTTTTCACACGACCATTACAGCATCCGCATGGATGTGACCAAAATTCAGATCCTTGGCAACTAGATCATATTTATGACAGTTGCAGTGTCCCAGGGTCATGTGATCCCCTCTTGCGATCTTCTGACAAGCAACGAGGAAGCCAGATTTATTTAACAACCATGTTGCTAACTTAACTGCTGTGATTCATTTAACAACTGTGGCAAGTAAGGTTATGAAATGGGGCAAAACTCATTTTAACAACCATCTCGCTTAGCAACAGAAATTTTTGGGCTCAATTGTGGTCATAAGTTGAGGACTACTTGTATAGATTTTCATTTGCCTGGGAAAATACCATCCATTTGCAAAATAGGTTCTCTTTCCTTATGTCCACCCTTAAGACTTAGTGCATGTCTGGGAAAGGGATTTGAAAAAAGGAGAGGTGTTGCAATTAGAAGAGTGCTTGCATAATGTTGGATGTGGTTCAGAATGTTGAAATAACCAGTATTCTGAAATCCATAATTAAACAGGCCTTCTTGTAGAAAAAAAAGACTAAGAAAAACACCTGTATGCAAGATTATAGTTCTCAGAGATATTTTACATATTTATTTCATTATTAGCTTGATGCAGAAATTGGATGTCTATATGGAACTTCACAGCAAAATCAGAGCAAATGAGGAAGGCTGTAGTGTAGAGCCTTTAATAACTGGCTGCTAAAATGACCCTTTTGTTTCCCAGGATTTTCTACCATTCTTTCCAGAACTATATCTTTACATATATCTGGTAAAACCAGTGGACTTCAGTGAAAGAAACCTTACCTATGCCACCTTGAATTATATAAAGTGGGATATTAATTCTAATAAACAAAATAAGTAACTTCAAATTAAAATGTTGATTTTGTTAGGATAGTGGCTAGGTACTGCCCATCTCAATCAAGCCAAAATTGGGACCAATTATTTTGAACGTTTCCATCTCACATTTTCATGGCCACACTTGTAATGGAATTGTTGGTTACCAACAAGCTAACCTAAATGCAGAATACCATAATCACATAAACCATAATCACATAATACCACAAAGCCATTATCTTACACAGAGACTTCCAAACTGATAATTAAGGAATAAACTGAAGTTGATTTTACCATACTGAATTTAACATTTCTGAAATCATTTAATTGTGCAAATATTACTATAACTATCCCACAATCCCACACATAAACCAGATTAGACTAAAAAAGGACAGATGTATCTATCTGGCTCTGTTATTCCAGGAGCAAGGCAGTTGTTACAATATACTATAAAGGAAATAGTCTGTAATCAAACATAACCAAACCAATATAAAACAAAACGTGAAAAGCTTTCTCAGCCATTTTGACTTGTACAATTTTCAGGGTGGGGACAAAGAGTCAACAGTGAAAAGCAACCAGAAACAGAAAAAATCTAACACATATAAGGATTTGTACAGTATATAAAAGAGGCTTTTCATATCATTTTTTTTAAAAAAGCTGCAGAGTCACAGACTAGTTAATTGCAGTAAAAACCGCAAAAAGAGTCGTGTAACCTTATAATATTTTAGTTTTTAAGCTATTTGTGGCTTCAGCGGCACAATAATCTTTGCCAGCCTTCAAGATACTGGACAACTCGTTGCTTTTACTAACCATTTGGAGCCGAGTAATCCATGCAGCCCGAAGAAGTGCAAGGCGAAGAAACAGAGGAGACTCACCTCTTTGGGCAGATAGGAATCACTGAACGACTTGGAGGACTTTGAAAAACAGGACTGGAAGATCCCAGGACGAGTAGGGCTTGCGTTGTCACTGCTCGTCTCGCTCCCACTGCCACGGTCGACCTCTTGGGCCGGGTAGCTGCTGCTGCTGGTGCTTGTACTACCGCCGTCGTTTTTACTCGGGGAGTAGGCTCTGCAATAGGTAAAAAAGAGCAGGTTTAAATGAGTCTGCTTGGGCTACACCTCCTCCCAGTCTCGGTGACGCCCACAATAAGGTCTGATACTTCGTCCCTCCTTTACTTTCCAGTTGTCCAATAGAGAAAATGAGGAAAACCGCTTCGCCAATGCGCTCTTCCCACGCGCTTGTCACGAACCAGCGAAGAGAAATGACTGGAGAAGCTTTGTAATTTGGGGGGGGGGGGGGAATACAGAGCACACAGAATAAAGAAGAGTAGAACAAAGGTGATTTTATCATGTTCCCGGGGTAGATCGGAGACAAGGACTGGGTGACACGCTAAAAATGCAAGCTAGATATTGCCGCGAACACAAATGCATTTTTCTTGCTCTCTCTGTCTTGCCACCACTGGCAAGCGTACGTAACCTGTCGCTTGGGCTCAATTCCTCGGATGAGTGCGGGATTGCGGGTTTAAGAGTTCGCAGAGAGTCTCCGGCCTCTGAAGGTTTAACAGAACAACGGCTCAGGCTTCAGATCCTTGAAGTGGTAGGATTTGATCCGGCTGTCCAAACAGGAAGGTTGACTGCCGTTGATCTTTGATCTTGACACTGATTGGTCGTGGACGAACAGAAGCTCTCAAGGACAAACTGAGGATCCGCTGGGCTTTATTTTGACACTTTTGGCTGCTTTTCTAAATACAAGAAGATTGAAATCTTTACACTCAGACAGCTGGCCTCCCTCCCGCAGTGTCATTAATTCATCCCCATGCAAGCCTGCTGGCCGGTTTGTATGAGACCGGAAAGCAAGAAATGAATGAAGGGATATCACGGGGAAGGAATCACATGGTTGAATTTCCTAATCATGTTCCGCTGACTATCTACATATTCAGGCCCCAGGAAAAAGCAGAGAGCGCAGTTTCTCAACCTTGACCAAAGCTTTAAGTTGTGTGGACTTCTGGGAGCTGAAGTCCACACATCTTAAAATTGTCAAACACTGAAGAGACAATGCAGAATATTGACTCCTTGTAGGTGTCAGATGACCATCAGGTATTATTCCTATAATTCTGAAATATTAATGGCGAGTTTTTCATGATTCCATAAACCTATTATCTTATATAAACTGTTCAAGTGCCCCAAATTAGTTTTGAGTTCAAACTGTATGTGTCTGTTGGGTGGGTAATTGACTTATAAAATTTCACAGATGATTGTGAGAATTGTGTTAGGGCTTAATTACAGCTCCCTGCATCCCATTGATATTGTACAGCGTTGATACACTATTGTTTAGGAATTTATTGGATTAATTCTCAGTAAGAAACTCAACCTGAGCCTAGGGGACATATTTCAGACAGGGAGAAATGCACATCGTTATGGTATTTTCTCTGTTGGCTCCCTCAAGCTTCTTCGTTCGACATGCATGCGAGTTGACAGTGAAGAGTTCTTGTGTCATCTCTACCTGTAATATTGCTCTATGATTGGACATAGAGCATGTTCGCATTCAGAAGATGCAAAACTTCAGACAAAGCCAGATCATCAATGAGAATTGGTTCCCCCTTTCTCGTACACACTTGATAACAGGTTCGCGGCGTTACCAGTCATTATGGCATTGTACGCTCGAGCTAAACTGCATTGAAAACTTTGGTCGATGATTGCAGGGTCGCCTGTGTGCGTTTGGTTCATCTCTCCGGCATCAATTGGATTGCCTGCGGGAGGCCGGAGCAGATGGCGCTGGAATAGCTCCTCCTCCGCCGATTTGCTTTCGTAGGGGAAGAAACAGGAAGTGGATGGTGAGGAGGGAGCGAGTGCAAGCCGGGTCAGCTGCTCTCTTAGCCGGGCGTCTTGGTTCCGTTTGGCCGCTCCCTCTTTGATGGTGTTGCCTCTTGGAGAGCAGATCGCAGGAGACCCGTGGCGGGAGATAGAAATAGCCTGCTGGAGCCTACCGAGAGGCGGGTGAGAGGCGGCGAACAAAGCGATTTTTTTCCTTCGCGAGGAAAGGAAGCGGGGGGGGGGGCTTTCACGCAGCCTCGTAGATTCCATGTTTTAGCTTTATGGGTTTCAGCCTGCCTTAGATCCTACATATGGGGCTGGACCGTAGCGATAATAGTTGTTGTTTTTTAAAAGTGCTTTGCCCTTCCGAATTTTGTTTCGTCTTTTCTACTGCGCGTTGTGGCATTTCCGTAAACCAGATTTTGTGGTGGGAAAGTTAACAATCGGGTCCTGCAGGGCGTATCGAGACTCTGGGGAGTGGGAAAAGATGACCCAAGATGTTGCTGTCCGCGACGGAACAGCCATCCTGCCTTGTCTCGTAGTTTCTGATGAAAGGGGATATCCAAAAAATATTCTGCTGAAATGAACAATTGCAAAATAGAGGATTGTTGCAACTTTAGAAGTTGTGCAGTGAAGAGAACATTTTGCTCGGTCTGAGATTTTTTTACTCTTGTATGCTGAGTTGCATTTGCTTACATACTTCCCCTAGGTCCTTTTGAAAAGTGCAAGAGCCCTTTGCCAATTAGGTGAATGAATGAATGTTTTTATTCACTGATCTGAATGGCAACTAGATAAATTGCTCCTATCTATTTTGAATTGTACACCTTTGGAACGAAGAGTGAGTGATGCACACTACATTTCCTAATACATTTTCCAATGTTGGGCTTCTGTTGGGATAGGCTTGTAGAGGCTCTTTGATTTAAAACAGGATGGAACTACACTTGCATAAGGTTAAAGATATTGAGACCATTTCAGGTTATATAATTGATTGCACCCATATTCAAATGAAATATGTGTAAGACGAATGAATGTTCCCTTTTGAACAGACACCTGGATGCATGAAAGCCAGGATCCTGTTACCCTGATTTAGAAAGATGGCATGGGAATCCTTCTAGAAATAAAACTCCCTAAAATCCTTGTGGTGAGCATTGTTTTTAAGAAAAGGAAACTAAATTTCCATAGCATTAATGATATTAGTTAAAATAGTTAATTTTCAGCCCCCTTAATCCTGTGATCGTTGTCATCCCCTTTGAACACTGTTTTATTCAAGTGGATGAGTTAATACAGAATGTTATTTTGTGATATACTTTGGAAATTCAGACTTTTGTGTAACAGATTTTATCCAACATGGATTCTTAAGTTTGGGGCTTATGCTAAATAAAGATTTAAAGGATTCTGTTTTTTGAAAGAATTTTGTTTTTATCTTTAGGTAATAAACACTTTTAACAATTATTAAATATCAGAAATTATTAGAACATGGCAATTATAGTACACTTTACAGTTATTAAGATCATATGTTGTCTATCTTACAATTACATTTTATACTTCAAGAAAAAAATAAAATTGAATTCTGTGCCAGCAACTCAAAACCCAGTTTAAGGATTAAATTATTATACTTTAAATATTTGGATCATTTTTTTATTATATGGCTTTACTGACTATCCAACACATATTCTTGAGTCAATAAACTGCTCAGATTCACCTCAAAACACAAGATGGCCAGCAAATAAATTTAATAATAAACAAATAGGTAAATTGTTGATATATTTTTGAGGTGATCTTAATAATACAATATTTTCTTCCACTTAAAATTGAGCTTATAGCAATATTAACTCTGCTTGCATGACATAGTTAATTATGGTTAACCAAGTTCTAGGTTTATACAACATTGGAAACCATGAACTATAGTTGAATGCAATTAGCTAATTTGCAGTTCAGTGTGTAGTATAAAACACAGCCATCAATTCAGCTTGGTTGCAAGCTTGTACCATTGACAACAAGTTATATTAATCCTTATATTAAATTACACTAATTTAAATTAATAGCCTTCAAATATAATGGTGCTAGCATTTAGGAAGAAAAACAATTCCTTACAGCCACATGACGTTAAAAATAATTTTGGATTAAGTACTTTGGAATCCTGTCTGAACCAGATTATTTCAGTTTAAATTAAAATTGTTCCTGTTTGCTTACTTGGGCTATGGTGGTATGATCTGAAGAATCTCTACTGATATTAATTCAGCCTGCATCTGCCTGAGAATCAAGTTTTACTTCTATTTTCCAAATGTGATAAAGGAACATATAAGTAGGAAGTGAATTATATTTTCTTAATGTATGCTCTTATTGATGTGACCAATCCATGCCAATTTTATGGTGATCATTGGTCACAAAATACTGATTACATCTACTCTCCCAAAAATTGGTATATATTTCAATACAGTATTGTGTATAAATGTTTATTTGATCATAATGCATTGATAACATATTTTCCCGAGACTTCCTGTTTCAAAGGCATTGTAGATAGAAATGGAATGAATAAGAGATTTTGTTTAAATATACTGCAGCACTGGAGAAGACAGGGATATTTAAAAATAAAAGAATTGCCACTATAAGACTAAGAGACATTAAGCCTAGTTCTCAGTGTCTGAGACCAAGCAGCTAGATTTCCATAGAAAACTTACAAGCAGAAATCTGATAGTGGTTGCCATCACTTTATCTTCTGATAGTGGTTATTATCTCGGTTTAATGTAGAGCCGGTATGAAAAACTCAACTTTTGAGTATATGGCATTTGTGGCCATGTTTGCATGATATACTAACTCATGGTTAAATGATCCATATTTACTGAATTAGCCCACAACATCTTAAATCCAAAACTTAACTACTCTGGCTGAGTTCCCAAAACACACTGAGGACAAAAAAGCCAACTACATTTTAGCTAGTAAATTGTAGGTTATATTTGGCTGTCAAGACTGTTACACATTGGTAAATTTATGGAAGTGGTAAATTTATGATTTTGGATTATGCAAGCTGCATATTACTCTCAGAAGTACCTTTTTTTCATCCTGGCCTTGTTGGTTAGATGAAGAAAGAGGAAATATGGATTATCTGTTTGCTGTGAGAAGTGAGCACATGCAAATGAATAACTACACAGACCGTTCTATTATTAGATATTTGTGATGTAAATTGGATGGAACTTCTGGTTAAAGGTGCAGAGTGTCAATATTGGATTGGTGACTCTTGAATTAAATTATTTTGTCTCCTAAAATACAAAATCTTTGGAAAAAGTGTTTTTAATTAAATGCTGCCTGGGTTAACTGATGTACAGTATGCAATATTACATGTTTGGAATATAATATACTTTTACATGTGGTATTAATACTATGCTTATGGGCTCTGATTATGAGTGTACAGTGTTTTGGATTTGATTCCAGAAAAGTGTTTTGCAATTTCTGTAGGTAGGTCATGAATGTAATGCTTACTGTATCTTCAGTTCTTTAAAGCAGGTTCTCATGTCAACTTTAGGGAACAGCTGAACAATCCTGGGAAAAGATGCTGGTACTTTCAAGATAAGTCCTACATTTATGTTCTGAACTACTTTTTTTAGAACTAATAAATGTTGCATAGCCATATACTAGCTTTGGCTTATTGTTGGGAAAAATCTGGACAAATTACTTAGTAGTTATGGACACAGAACTGGCAAAATTGCTGTGTTCAGAACTTGCTTTGGACTATTTTTCTCTACATTTTTGTCAGGTTCTAAAGCCAAGCCTTTGTGTTCTTCCTGAAGATCAAGTGTGTGAAAGACTGTAGACCTGACTGTGGGAACAGAGAAGGAATGAGTGAACTAATGGGGGGGGGGGAACTTTCAGAAAGGATTACTCAGTCCTGTGAAACAGAAAAGTATAACTGCTTTGATTTTGTTTGGCATAAGATAGGACAGAGAGACACTCTGACGTGCTTTCAAGATTTCTTTTATTGTACTTGACAACAAAAACCATTTCCTCGAAATCCCTACGGTGAATGTTTTGGCCTTGCCTACCTTGAAGGATTGTGACCCTGACTAGCAGTTGTGATGATAGAAAACCCTACGGTGGCTGTTTTCTGGAAAAGAAAGGCATCTGGGTGTTTTTTTTGGGGAAACATCTGTCAGCCTTTCCAGGTAGACTAGATAGGAAACAACCAGTTGAGCTAATTCTACTTTACTGTAAGGCTACATTAACAAAATCTTGCAAGTCTGACAATAGAAATTCTCGTCATCTCTTTTACAGAAAGTTTATTTCTCGGCCGGTTATACAGCTGCTCACTATGCTCTCTTTTACCTAGGTAGCATCTCCCCATCCCACCCCACTCATTCCCTCATAACCATTACATCATCTTTGAGTTGAATTTTCATTACTTTTTTGTTTATAACCCTACTTTCTGCCTAATTGTTGTTTTGGAAACTTCATAGCATTCTTACAGAATTAACCCGATTTGTAACATTCTTTTGCCCATACTACTCTCTGAACTAGTCATAGTTTTGTTGTTACATTTTCAAATGATAACCTTTTACTTCCTTAATTCATACTTGTGAACATTAAACATGTCTAATCTACCATCCATAATTGAGTAAAATCTGGATCCAGGAAAAGACGTATCTGCAAATGTTGGGAAACTAACTTATTTTCAAAATGCTGTTAGGATTAGATAGTCAGGTGGCATCAATACTACCGTATATATGCTTGACTCTTGGTATCTGCATGAAGAAATGCTCATCACCTTGGCCTGCTTTTAACCATAACTCATAGCTTTTCAAAGGACGTTGTCTTTCCCTTTTCCTATTTCTCTCTACAATACTATACATAATAATTTGTTCTGGTCTATCCTCCGCTTGCATGTAAGTTTGTGAGTTTTTGTTTACTGATAATCACCTCATGATAGGAAATTGTATATTACAGAGTAGGACTAGCCTGAAGCAATTATCCATCAGTTGTTTCCTCTAGCTTAGATCTCTTCAATACGTTGGTAATTCATACTGAAGCATATCTTATCTATGAAATTGGCTTATTTATCAGTCCCAAAAAGCAGAGGCCTACAGTTCTATGCCTGAAGGTGTACAAAGAGTAACAGGAATAATAATATGCACTTGCCTGCTGTCATTGCTCTCTGAGCTTTTCTTAATTGTCTGAGGATCTTCTGCCAG